AGGTCGAGGAATCCGAAGGAGAGGAAGAGGAGGAAGTTCCTATCATTTTGAAGGAACGACCGGACGAAGCTGAAGGCGAACCCGAGTATCGGGAGGTCCCTCAAGATGGATACGGGAATGAACTTCCGAAGCCTTTCCCCTTCGCAATTGACGAATTGCCGCAAGAAGCTGCGATCCCCATCGACCACAACTTTGCCGTCACACAGCAATTTGATCTGAGGTTGATGAAGTTGATCAAGGGCTTGGCCAACGCAACGTTCGACATCAACTGCTTTGAGAGTCGTGAAGATGTACTGCGAATGTTCGACGATGGACAGCGGCGTGACACTCCGCACAATAGATGGCCAATAGTACCGAAAGATCCGGATACTGGGTTTCCAAGACGTCTCAAGAGAGCCGAGGTCGTAGGCATGGGCAGATGGACCGACGACGTGTTTGCAGCAGAAGCGTGGCAGATCTATGAATTCCACGCCAACGTTGTTCATCCGATGATGATCACTGCAATCCGCTGCGGGCTTAGCCACAAGTACCTCAAAGAGGTCGGCAACACTCAGCGTAGCATGAGTGATCCAAAGGCTCGAAAGTCTGAGACCCAGGATGAGATCATCGAGAAATTGGCATTCATCTCAAATTTCATCAGACGCATGATCAAGAAGACCTTCGGAGCGAGCCGATATAGTTACTACCAGAAACCAGATGACGAAAGTGCCGCTCCATACAAATTCATCGACATTAGTCCCGCCATCAAATCGGAGAGGAAGAATGTCACGAAGGAGATCCTCGTTGCATGCCGCTACTATGGCATAGAGGTATCCGATATCCAAGCAAGGAAATTGAAGTCCTTCGAGGAGCAGATCCGAGCGGGAAATCCAAGGAACGTTGAGCTCATCAAGGACTACATTGGATTTGTCGGCGCTGACTACATGCGACAACTCACGAATGGTTGAGCATTGGGGTCATGCCGACATGCCACTTCCGGTACTTCAAGTACTGAGGGATCTCGGGTAATTCATGATGACCGTTTTGGCATCATGGGAGTGAGATAGGATTGTGTCTCACACCGTTGGTAATCGCATGATACCATAGGTAGGTGCACGTTTTCCGCTTGTAGCTCCATTGCCTGTTTGATCCAACTTTCAAGCGAATGCAAGATATTTTGCTAATTCAATTCAATAGGACATACTGGTTGACCTCCAATACACTTTTGAGAACGTGATTCGTTCTCCGGTTTTTACATCCACTCATCTCCCTTCCCCGTCGAAGTACGGATGTGGGGGGTGTCAATAGGGATGGGGTCCCAGTATAGTCGCTATACAGGTACATGCCATATACTTTTGGCTCAAGTGCCCAACCAGGTAAAAAGGAGCTTTAGCGCGCGAGCTTCATGTTGACCTAAGAGCTAGAACGGGGCCAGGGCACACCTTTCCATCCGTTCACAATTGAGAAATCGTTGAAGAAGCAAGCAAGCTATGATTAAGGTCTAGTGTTTATTTTGATTTGAGCGAGTCTTTGCATGTCTTTGTCACTGGTGCCGAAACCCGCCCAACCGATCCTTGGCGCCCAGCAAGCCCCTCCCGAGGTCTTTGGGATGGACTTGACGCCGGGCGCCATCGGCTGTGCGCTGTCGCACATGCAGAGCCTTGGTGGTCGGTTTCGTTCAGCGCGCGCGACAGCACCTGGTAACAAGGGCATCGCTGCTAATATCAAGGGCATTACTGCTAGTCACAAGAAGCTACTAGTAGCGATGCACCTGAACACACACTTTTGCGGATTCGATTTTTGCGCCGTGGTGTGACCGAAGACCACACGTGGCCGAAACGGTTCACAAGAATTTGGGACACCGCAATGCCACACTTGTTCGCCTGCTCAAAGATGCTGTTCCTTTACCGACCGTCCAGCGATACGATGAGGAAGGGTTCTTTCCCAATTTGGAGGTCAAAGAATTTTTGGAGAATTTCGGCATGAAATTGGAGCCGATTGCAGATGAGTGCTTGGCAGATGGGAAAGCTTAGTAGGCACCCCTCCTTTCGTCCTTTTCGGAAGTAGTAGACAAGTTGTCCTGTCTGCAACTCCTTCAAGGGTCGACAGCGGAACCTCAAGGCACGTGCAAATCGTCTTCTGGCGTCTGCCTCAAGAAACGCTTTCGGTGCAAGTGCTTCAGCTTGCAGAGTCTCTTCAAAATCTGGCATCTATCTCCGGGATTGCAGGGGAAGGTTATCATACTGCTGAAGGAAGGAACTCAGTCTACCATGAGCCATGTCCTTGACCAAAAGCCCACTGATTAGGAAAATAGCCTCGAATGTTGTGAAGAGAATTCTTAGCACTAATGGCTAAAGAGAGAATCTGATGAGGCCCAAAACGAGTTCTCAGTTCACTAGCAATCAAGTTACACTGTTCAAGAAGCGTGTCCTGCAAGAGTTACAAGAGTGTCGGACGAGAGTGTCGCACGAGAGTGTCCCACAAACGAGTGCGCGCAGCAGTCCCCACAAGTGTTTCATACAAGAATGTTTCACACAAGAGTGTCATGCAAGAATGCTCCACAAGCGTGTCCCACAAGAGTGCCCCACAAAGGTGTCCCTACAAAAGAGCACCCCGTGAGTTTCCCCACGAGGGTGTCTCCTACAGTGCCCTGCAACCAGAGTGTCCCACAAGAGAGTGTCGCGCAAGAGTAAGCGCCCGACAAGCGTTCCCCGCAAGATTGAGTGTCTGACAAGAGTGTGCTGCAAGAGTGTCTCTCACAAGAGTGGCTAGCCTGCAAGGGTGTCGCGCAAATTTGCTGCTTACAAGAGAGAGAGAGAGAGAGTCTTACAAGAGAGGTCCACAAGAGTGTCAAGCGTTGTTTGGCTGTTTGTTTTCGAGTGCGTGTGCATCCGGGTTGCTGGGTTTCAAGAGGAATGGTTAACATGCATCATCACATCCCACAGCTTTACCGCTTGCATCTGCATCTCTCACACCTCACATCTTCACGTCTTGCCTTTTCGCTCGTATCTTCGTGTCTTTTTCTGTGTCATATATTGAAGTTGAGTTCAAGTGGGCACGGCCAAAGATGAGGTCCGAGGTGAAGGCGAAGAGGGCTGGCCGGACGGTCGCAAAGGCCTTCCGCAGGCTGCCCTTCAGGGAGCAGCAAGAGCTGCTGCGCCAGAGCCAGGCGTACACCTTTGACGACTTGGCAGAGGCATTTTCATTGCGTTTTGGGCGCAGAGTTTACCCTAAGAGTCTAAGAGGGTTCTGCTTGGGGTTGCGCAACGACCTGCTGGAATTGAGTCAAATTCTCATGGTGAAAGCAGCATCAAGCTTTGACGCCCGAAACTAGCAAATATGCACCTACGGCCCTCACAAATCACATGTCTACCAAGCCAAGCTTCCAAAGGCTCGAAAAACTTACTGTATTGGCAGAACTCATGAGATGAGTTTTTGCAAACAATAGTCCGGGGTTGTGCAAATCATTGCGATTTTGCGACCATTGCTAGCTGCTAGCTCAACGTCCACCCCATACTTCTGACGAAGGTGGAAAATCAGTTTGCTTGACAGAGGCACTTGCAGCTCAAATGGTCTTCGCCCAAGAAGATATGCCCACGGCAGGCCGGTCCAGCGTCGGGATTGTATACGGTAGGGTGTGTACATGACGTAGGTACGATGGGTACTGGGCATGGGCGCGCTACACCACAAAGGTGCAATAGCTGCGGTGTTGGTGGCATGTCAAGCGCATACTAAATCCATGGACACGACCACTTTCGTAACGATGTGGCCAAATGAGCCCTCACACATGTGGAAGGTTTGGGGCATCGTCCTCTTTCAAAATCAAAACTCGAACATAAGGCGCAGTTCGGCAGTTTGGGGATTGATCCCATCGATTCTGTTTACCGTGCTGCGATGCGACTCTTTGCGCGTGCTTTGAGAGGCAGGAGACGCTTTCTATAGGTAGTTGGACCCTGTTGCAGCGCAACTGCGTTTTGCATGTTTTGCGCGGTTTTGCGCGCTCGCCCCTCATGCAAGAATCATGCGTAAACTAGATGCGTGTTTCTTTGGCATCAACTGATTGGCTCCCAAGTTGATGGTGACGTGTGCAATGCTGATCCTATATCCTCTAGCTGTTTGTTCCGTGTAGACAAGTTTTTGGAAACAATAGTTTTCATCACTGGTAACAAAATCCGAACCTGACATGGTAGTTCCCCGCATTGATGTGTGGGGTTTTTGTTTTTAGTGTGGTATCCGCTCCTTCCTTCCCTTCTCCTCATCGCTCCACCTGCCACCCACAAACTGCCACCAACCAATTGCCGCCCACCAATTGCTACCAACCAATTGCCACCAACCAATTGTCACCAACCAATTGCCGCCAACTAATTGCCACCAACCACTTGTCACCAACCAAGTGTCATCAACCAATTGCCATCAACCAATTGCCACCAACCAATTGCCACCCACCAATTGTTATCAACCAATTGCCACCAACTAATTGTCACCAACCATTTGCGTGGCAGGCGCAGCACTTTGGTGCTCTCCAGGGGGTGGGATGTGCGCCCTTGTGCTCGCTGGTGCTCGTGGGTGGCCGCCGCTGTGCCGCTGTGATTTGCGTGGCAGGCGCAGCACTTGGTGCTCTCCAGGGATGTATGCCCTGGTGCTCGCTGGCTCGTGGGTCGCCGCCGCTGCGCCGCTGTGATTTGCGTGGCAGGCGCAGCGCTTGGTGCTCTCCAGGGGGTGGGGTGTACGCCCTGGTGCCGCCGCTGCGCCACTGTGACTTGCCTGGCAGGCGCAGCGCTTGGTGCTCCAGGGCTTCACCCACCAATTGCCAGCAACCAATTGTCACCAACCAGTGCCTAGTGTCACCAACCAATTGTCACCAACCAATTGTCATCAACCAAGTGTCGCCCACCACTTGTCACCAACCAATTGCTGCCCACCAATTGTCGCCAACCAATTGCCACCCACCAATTGCTACGAGCCAACTGCTACCAACTATTTGTCACAAACCAATTGTCACCAACCAATTGATACCAACCAATTGTCGCCAACCAATTGTCACCAACCAATTGTCATGAACCAATTTTCATCAACCATTTGCCGCCCACCAATTGTCACCAACAAACTTCCACCAACCAATTGCCACCAACCACTTGCCACCAACAAACTCCCACCAACCAATTGCCACCAACCCATTGCCACCAACAGACTGCCACCAACCAATTGCCACCGACCAATTGCCACCAACCCACTGCCATCAACCAATTGTCATCAACCAATTGCCACCAACAAACTTCCACCCACAAACTGCCACCAACCAACTGCCACCAACAAGCTGCCGCCAACCAATTGCCACCAACCAATTGTCACCCACCAGCCACCCATTGTCCGCTCCTGTGTCTGGTGAAGTTGTTACAATGTGGGGTATCCGGTCCTATAGGGGTTTTAAACCAGCAGTATCTGAATGAAGATTTCCAAAGACTTCGTGTCGAATCGCTTACAAAACTCTACGCCTGCGAGGAAGACGGTTCGCCCGGTCAGCCCGCGCCCAAGCAAGTGCGCGGCAAGGGCGGGCAACCCCACATCAGCGCCAGTGTCTGCGCTGTTGTCCTCAAGGCGCACAATTGGGAACGCCAATCGTCATGATATCTCGTGAAACAGTCCTGGAGTCTAACATGCTTAAGACTCGGTTCCATCTTGTCCTTGAAAGCCCTCGACAAGCAATGGATTGCGCTATAGATTGTGCAAGAATCATGCGTAAACTAGATGCGCCCCTAACAGTGTCAGCGTGTTTCTTTGGCATCAACTGATTGGCTCCCTGATCCTATATCCTCTAGCTGTTTGTTCCGTGTAGACAAGTTTTTGGAAACAATAGTTTTTGATCGCCGGTAACGAAAATCCGAACCTGTTCTGAAACTTTACGTAGTAGTAGCGTTCATGAGCGGACAAAGAGTAACAGAAACGACCTGGCTGTAGATGTGAACAAGTATGCTCAACTTGGACGTATCAGACAAGGCCCGGAAGGACCCGCAAGGTGGAACAAGACCCCCTTTCATGCCATCTGATGGAGCAGTAGGAAATTGAAGAGAGTGGCCCCCAGGTCCACAAGTGCTGAATCCCAGATGTGCGCCAATGCGTTGGATCTCCATGAATTTGGCAAATTGTCCTTTTTGGAAATGGAAGCTAAGGAACCTGTTTCTCCAGAGTTTACCATCCTGTCTTGTGGTGGACGCAAAGAAATCTTCAGGCCTTCAACTGGAAGAGAAAAGAACAGCAATTGAGTTGCTGGCGATTAAACAACGACTCCTTCAAGCATCAATCTTCCTACGTTGGGTGAATTCAGGCCAGCAGCTTTCAGACGCTCTTACCAAGAGTTGGCAACATGAAGGTTTGATTCGTGCACTACAAGAAGGGAAATGGAGGATCATCTTTGATCCCGCCTACCAGTCGGCTAGGAAAATTCGTGCTTTAAAGAGATCCAATCATGAAGAAGCTTTGTATGCTCTGTATTGTTTGTGGGATCTGGTGTGTGAAGTTCCAAAGACAGAAAATCTGTCACATGAATGTTTGGCAAGAGAGATTTTTGATGGATGTGAGTTCTGAAGATTTGCTAACATTCATGTGTATGATAACCATTTGACTCAAGCGGTTGCCCTTTCACACCACCGGTTCGATCGCCCTGCCATAAAAGACCCAGCTATCTCATCGAGCTGGTCTACGCGGTTGACACTTACTTCATCGTATCCTTTGTCGACGATCCCCGAGCCAAATACCATTCACCACCAATTCCTGCGGTGGATTCCATGTTTTCGGTCATGCCACTGGAGTGCACCTCAAAGGCCCGGACCGGTACGACGGTGGCACCCGATGTTGGGATGCCAGCCGTGGCTGCAGTGATGACCTGATTTGGGCCACGTCGACTGGTGATTAGTAGGGAATGAAGGAACGAGCTCCCCATGTAGAGATTTCGTTGGATCATTTTGGATCCATTCCCTCATTCTTTACTAAGCACCAGCCAGAACTTGGACAATGTGTTTTGGTTCCGGATCGTTTTTCGCCTCAATCGCCCCACACGGCTTCGGAGAAAGTCCGTTCACCGACCCTGCCAAGGGGATCAAACTGAGACTCCCAAACGCCAGTCAGCACCGGGTTTTGATATCAGGCTTAGCGGCGCGGGTGAAAACCAGGGGCGGTGCTTGTGTTGCTTGGTTTTCTCTGACCTCCAGTGATGCTGTGATGTCTTCCACAGGAACACTCCCATCTTCCACCAGGTCACCACTTGACACCTGTTCTATAAGTTCCAACCACCCTCTGCAAAAGACGGTTAGTGCGCTCCCCAAACGTCCGAAGGCGCCACGCATTGGGGTGAAAGGTCAGCTTGCCCCCGCAAAGTGCCCCGGGCGACCCAGGATTTGGCTGGATATCATGACGCGTCATGGTCGAGGCACAGCAGTTTCGGACCACTCACAGGTTGAGGATGGAGGTTCATGTTAGGGATAAGAGGGGAAGAGTAGAATGCTGAGGTCACTGCTCTTGGAATATGTTCAGTGCTAAATTGACATGTTTGCAGGGATCCCCGGGAACTATGTCCCATTTGAGAAGTCTTGTGGGGATTGGTACAAAGACAGTCTAAGAGCCTGCCTCCATCCAAGCCCACGGGCAAAAAACATAAATAGACTACAACTTGTGGGTCCCTACCAGCTACTTCCAAGGGATCACTAATGAACAACTTCCCCACCTAGGTCTTCATAGCCCCTAGCACTAGGTTCAATGAATTGGTGGTTTAAGGAAACATCTGCAGGAACCTCACAGTGTTGGGGGTGCAAACCATGGGTTCCTGTAGATTTTCCCTTCAGCCCATTCATTGATAGGTAGGTCTTACGTTGTGAGACACATCCAAACTACATTGGCCTGCTCCAGTTCATCCAGGCGAGTTCCACGGCGACGAGCGAAGCCAATTCCTGGTGGCCCGGGACCCCAGATCCGCGTGGTGTTTCTCGAATATTCTTCTGATCCCACGGGACACTGCAAAAAACCATGGGCAAAAATATGGTTGTAGCTTCTGAACTCTTGAAGCTTCTATCTATCTACATCAGGGTGGTTCTTGCTCCACCTTGGGAGTGATCTGAGTTCAGCCTCGTGCTTTTGGCGTCCAAGTCTCAGGTGGAGGACGATTGCGAGTTCGTGTCTCACTTCGATGAGGACCAAGTGCAACAGCGCTTGGAAGAAGTTCCTCAGGAGCGGCGAACCGGCGCGGACCTGGTCATCCGTCGTCCGTCGTCTCTCGTCACTCCGACCCGGTTTCTTCAGGGGCCCCCGGTGCAGTTGGATGGGATCTTGGGCGTCGTGTCTTTTGGATGCGGTGGGCGTTGGTTCTTCCACGGCGCCGCGCCGGTTGTCGCCGGTGGCGACAGGATTGGCAGCTGGTCTTCTTGGGTGGCGTGGATGCCATGGGTCTTCAACCACTCCTGCAGATCTCCCCGGGAGTCAGGTCGGGGTCCGGTCGGGGGCCTTTCGACTCGGCGCGTGCGGAATGGCGGAAGGTCAAGGGGACCCTGAAATGACGCGCGGAACGGCGGAACTGCCGTGCCAGGATTGAAAGGGGCTTAGTGTGCTGAGGTGAGGTGCCTCTGGGGTGATCAAGGATTTCCCCCTTGGGCGATCCTGGCAGGTCAAAAGGTGTTCACTCTCAAGTGGCTCAGAAACGAACATCCTGAAAGACAGAAAACGCCAAACGCCTTTCTTCCGCTGCGGAGGGAAGAGTATTCCAGGAATCCCACCAAACCCATTGTGACCATTTCTTTTATATCCCCCGGGAGTCCAGTCGACTACAAAAAGAATGGTCTGACGACAGTGACAGTGACATTTTCGTGCCTCTTTCAGGGACTGACCTTTAGACTTACGATGGAAAAGTCTCGTCAGAAATGGACTCACTCAGGGTGCTTGCAGAATGACCTCGGCCGCATCTCGGGTGGTCGAACGACGTTTTCGGGGCTCGAACGGCCCAGCGAGTCGATCCATCGACCCAACGAGTCCCCGAGTCGACCAGGCGGGTCTATAACGGTTCGCGTGAGACCACGGCCTATGTGATCAATGTGGAAGGTGAGAACGGTGGGATGAGGAAACCGGACAGGGCGATGTCTGCTTGGGTGGGTGGATTGGTGTGATGTTGTTTGCTTACGCTTCGCTGCTTTGGTTGGCTGGCTCGTGGCCTTCGGGCGAGATTTGGGGTCGGTAGCCTTAGCCTTGGGTTGATCGAAGTTTCATCCTCATCCTCATTTGGCATCTTTGGGCTGACACCAATTTCCTCTATAGAAACAGGGCGAAGTTGATTTGTTTCTTTGAGAGCACAGTCCTCAACCTACTCTCAGCACCGCGCGTAGCGTCTTAGGGCTGACCGAACATCGCCCCGCTGTCGGCTCTCAGAAACTCAGAGACATCACTTCAGCTGCAAAGAAATTCTGTCGAAGCCTCCAAGGACCTAGGACCTTCCGTTGCTTTTTGGACACCCCTATATAACCAGCTCTAAGAGGCATTGAGAGGCTATTTATAGATACCGCGTCGAGTCGAGGGTCCATCATGTAGTCCCCCTTGTTGGGTTCTAACACTTCTTTTTTTGCCAAAGCGAGCGAGCGCGAGTGAAAGCGCAAGTTCCCGGTTGATGGCGCAACACCTGAAGTCGGTGAATATTCCCGAGATGGATCAGCAGCATCAAGATCTCTTCTCTGCAGTGATGGCGTTGAAGGAGTCTTCAAACTTTGCTGAGGACCTGAGCCGTGCCGTAGACGCAGTAGAGGCCCACTTTGGAGCCGAGGAAGCCTTGTTCGAAAAGTATCAGATACCCAACGTGATCACTCATCGAAGTGAGCACATGAAGTTCTTGGCCTCTTTGCGGAAGAAGCAGGCCGAGCTGAGCCAGACTTCAGATGGATTGGTTGGGCCAGCCGAGCTTGATCAGCTGGTGCAAACAACGACCAAGTGGTTGAAGATACACGCCAATGCATATGATGCGCCTCAGTACGGGACATTCTTCAAAGATGGCCAGTACATTGGCAAAGAATGGTAACAACAGATTTGGGCGCACTTGCTTTTTATTCGTGTTGGTCGGACTTCTTCTCTCGTTAGCTAGCTGATGTCTGGCGGTGTACAGAGGTCGGACAGAGTATGGGGAATGTGGAACTCTCCAGAGTAGCTGGCGACATGTTTGTCAAAGAATCCCAGACCATCCATGTGTGGAACAGTTGCAATTCATGACCATACATGAAGTACCTCAGGTGAAAACCTGCACACAGCTTGATCAACCTTGTCCTACCAAAGCGATCCATGGGCCTAGAAGAGTGACCTAATGACGACATTTGCCCCATGAAAAAGGACTCATCCATGGGGAGCGACCTCACTCTTCCGGTCCCATTGGTCAGGTCTGGGGGAACCCGCCTCAAGCGACTCGAGTTAGGCACAGTGGCAGGGCCGAGTCAAGGTCAAGGGCCCTTGGAGGAGAAGAGGAAAAGACTGGCAGAAAAGGGGTGCGAGAGCTGGCAGAAGTGTGGTGTTTTCCCGACACAGTTTAACTCCAACCTTTTAATTCAAGGAAGTGACCCACATCCTGCTGAAACTGTTTGGGGTCGCCGGCCATTGTTTGGGACGCCCCCAAGCTACGCCGTGGCCAAGCCGAAGCTACTGATGAGGAGGTGTCTTCTGCCTCAGAGAGGCCCAAACCCTGTGCCACGGGTGGCTCCAGTCACTGAGACTGCGGGGGTTGTCGGCGTCATCGGGACAGCGCCAAGCGCGCCAGCGCGCCAGGCGCACGTGAGGCATTGAAGGTCTGCTTCCCGCTGTCATGGCAGCTGGATACCATGCTGACGATGCATCTCGGCGGGACAAAGAACACAGAAAAACAATGACAAACATACAATAACACACATCAGATTCACTTCTAGCTTCGGGTGAAAGGTACGTGTTGCTTTGATGTCTAGCATGTCTAGCATGTCCAGCATCTCACTCAGAGAAGTCGTTGCCCGCACAGTCGTGTCATTGATGAGCGATGAGCTTCAGACCTGACCTGACCGATGCCTCTGGCCGTCCGCCGACCGATCTGCGGAAGAAACGCCGCAGACCGACCGACTTCGGAGCCGCCGTGAGGCACTCACGGCTCTGCGATCCTCCCCTGTGGGTCAGCGAGGACATGCAGCTCCTGGGACACAGACGACGGACGGTTTCATTCTTCATTCAGATCGTGGCCTCCGATCTGACAGTTCTGGTGTTGAAGATCCCAAATACGTTTTCTGGGTCGGATCCCAATCACGAAAACTGACGCTAGGATGGGAGAATCCAACAAGATTTGCGAAGCTATTTCGACTGTTTCAGCGGATTTTTCGGAAGCACCCTCCACTGTTCGGCTTCTCTTCCCAGGTCGATCTTCAGACCCAAAAAGCACCGGGTTCATTGAGCCCACACTGAAACCCCCCAAAAGACCATGTGGTCCCGACCCCCAAGACCGCCCACCCGAATTCTCTTACTCTAAGAGATCTCTAAGACCTTCTTCCAAAGGGCGGGGGGCCGAACCAAAACCGGCAGGTTCCACCAGGGCCGCAGGCACCAGGCAGGTCACGTTCCGTTCGGTTGCTGTCCCCGGGCACGTCCACCTCACCCCGCCTCGCCCATGAGGTTGTCCTATACTGTGAAGCCCATGAGTTACATCTTATGGCCTCCCCTGGCGCTGCAGAACAAGCGCGACTTCCGCCCCTTGCAGCTGCAGAACAAGTGGGTGGTAGACCCAGCCAATTCTCAGTGATTCTGGGGAGGTCTTCTCGAGGTGGCTGGAGTGCTCAAGTCTTGGAGTGCTCAAGTCGAGGTGGCTGGACATTCAGATTGGCAAAAAAGCGCCATGCTTCCAGGTGTTTTGGGAGTCTTCCAAAGCTGGATTTCTACCGAAGCAAGTCCTCACCGGCGCCCCACCGAAACGCTCAATACGCGCCCCTGGTCGTGCCCAACTCACGCGACGCGCGTACGCCCAATACGCGACCAATACGTGAGCTGAGTCGCATCTGAGGGACAGATGTCCAGAAAGATGAGCATCCGGAGTTCCTCCGGTCCAACAGCCACCTGGGCGTGAAAACTTTCAAACACGTGACGTCCGTCCGGTCGACCGGGTCGACGGTGTCGACCGGGGTTTCTCGGACCAGGAAAGGGCTGTGAACTCACGAAGCGTCTGGGTAGAAAAAAGAGATGACGTGTCCCACTATCATGAACTCTGGCTGGTAATGGGATATACCGATTTTGTCGGGTATATACCCAATTGTTGGGAGGATTTCTCCGACACGTGCTTTCAGGGGTGCCGTATCAGATGCTTGTAGCAAAACTCGATCTGCGAAAGAACCCAAAGGTTTTCCGGGACGCGGAGCGGCGCCGCTCTGCGGCCCACTGGCACCCCTTTGTCCGACGCGGAGAGAGTCATTCACACTTTCTGGGTGTACCGAGTATGACAACACTCTAGGGATCCGTTTTCGGTACCGAACCTGGTTCGGCAGGTTCGGGAACCCGACCGTGTGGCGGCGCCCCGAATGGAGAATGGAGAATGTCTACATCACCGCACCTGAGAAGGTACGAAAACGGATCCCTATACTATACCAGGGGCCCTCAGAACCATGACAAAAAACATGCTTTTTGCTAGGGGAAACCAGGTTTTTGATGGTTTGTGGGGCCCCTGTTAGGGCACCTGTTTGGGGTTTCGGATTGCATGCTCCTCCCACCTCGGCGTCTGCTCCGGAGGCTACCGCGTGGCGCCGCCCGTGCTGCCGTCGCCGCCGAGCTCGCGGCGCGACACGGAGCTGGTGACGGTGGAGGAGCTGCGGGCCTTGGAGAGGAGCCCAAGACGTGGGGAGAAGTGGTGGAGTCGAAGAGGGATGAGTTGTGGTATGTTGGGGTGAGTTGGATGGCAGGATGGTGTGAGTTGGATGGGAAGGAGGGAAGAAGTGGGATCGGATATTTTTAGTAGGTGGTTTGAAGTGGACAGAAGGCGACCGAAAAAGGGTGGGGACAATGGCACCAGGCTCCGGATGGGCGAAATCACCAGGAAGCAGGCCGCCAAACCTAGGACCTAGGGATTTTCGGAAGCACAACATAGACTCCGACTCAAAAACATGTGAAGTGGATGGACTGGAGGGGGCCTGGATGTGAAGGTGGATGGACCCAACAGGTGGTGGTGGTGAACTCCACTTCCCTGTGAAGTGTTCCGACTCTTTCGCACCACGGCGATGCCTTTCAGGAGATATGCCTTGGTTGGCAGCTGGGATGATTGGTTGACCTTCCACCCGTTCGACTTGGCCGATGGCCCCATCCTGGCAGCCGAGGTCCGGTCGTGTTTGATTCACCTGCACCTGCTCCCCCAGGATGGAGGTTATATAAGGGGTGTCCAGAAAAACCCACCCCCCTTGTGCTTGGTATATGTCTATGCATTTTTTTTGGGGGGTCCAGTCTGGGTCCAGTGGTTGGGGTATCTTACATCCATGCCTTGAAATGTTTCATTCAGAGTTTATGTTGATCTATCCCACCTGCGAGATCTCTGGGCTGCACGTTTGGCAGACCCATCGCCTGCCTCCAAAACGGGGTGGGCGTGAGAAAAGGCACGGCACGACTTCCTTGAGAAATCTCTTAGGAATGAGTATCTCCCACCCAAAGACCGCCAAAATGAAGGTGAACATCCTTTTTCCGAAAAAGGAGGCTCCCCAAGGGACCCGAAGCCCGAAGACCACCAAATGAAGGTGAATAAGGTGGTGCCATTCAGTTCCATGGGATGGACATACGCCAGCTTCAGTTCCATGAGCCCTGCCACACACAGGAGAGCTTTCCATGAACGCCAGAATTGATCACTTGATCCGCTGGGCCGCTGGGCCTTCAGATATCTTCTCTCAGATGAAACCCCACACGGGTGTGTAGCCCATCATAGAGAGACCTGCCAGTGCAACCCCTTGGGTTCTGGTCGGGAAATAGACCAGGAAATACCCAGCCAGGGGCGAGATTTTGGGGGTCTCGCTAGATAGATATACACACCCAGATGGATCTTTGGATCTCCAGATGGGTTGGCAGACCCTGATTGACCACCGAAAACCAGCAGAAATCCGCTGGGCCCTGTCTCCTCACCACACCCGATCCCATGGCGTGTGCGGCACAAGGTGGATGTACCACCCGGCGCACCGGTGGAGTTTCAAGTGCTCAGGGACAACGATTGGAACCAACGAGCCTTGGAAGCCAGTTCGGTGGGAGCCGGACCGGGCCTGGAGTTGGGAGCCAGCGAACTAGTGGATGGTGGCATGGTGGCATGGAGCTGTGTTCATGGTGGTGCCCCAAGAGTAGAAGTCGTGGCACAGGTTCCAGGACATTTGGAGTGGGGATCTACGAACTTCTATCTATTTGTGGGTCTTCTTCCCAAGGGCGGACATTTTTTGAGTGCATGGAAGAAAGACCATGCTTCGGAAGCGATTCGGAAGGCAGGTGATTGGGACACTAGCATCCATAGGGGGACTCTAGGCTCGAAGTCAAAGACACTCCAAACAAAGCCCTGAAGTGGAGGGCCCTTGATGGTCTAACCAGGGCATCCAGGCAACCCACTACTAGTTTGCTGGGAACCAGTGGTTCCAGTTCGACTAAAGCTACAGACCTTCAAGTCATGGTTCTGTAAAGAAAGTGGATTATAGTGGTATATGTGGGATCCTCTGGTCGTTTGGAGTCGCCCTTCTCGGGTTTCGTTGTGGAGCGGTCAGGCTTCGCCGGTCTTCGAGTCTTTGTCAGGCTTCTACCCTGAAGCGGATGGCAGCATTCGCATGGGCGGTTCCCGCGCGACTGGGCTGGACCCCGCGTCGCGCGACCGAACGGCAAGGGGGGGAAGGACCGAAGAAGCACTTGTTGTGAAGCACTGGAATGGTTGAGCATTGCCTCTGCTGAAGGACGCGAACGATGAAGAGAGCTGAGGGGTTCGACTCTTTATATAGAGTACCATTGGAGATCAAGAGGAACTGAGCCACCTTTGAGACTCGTGAACGGTTTGGCTGATGTGCTCCTGTTGTCTGGCCGAGCTCGGTCTGGCCACCGGGGCGGAGGTTCCTCCGAGAACCGGGGGCGTCTTGGCGCGTCCAACTGGTCGGTGTCAAAGTGTTTGTGGATCTTTGGTGGTTTATTTGGTGGTATCTGGTGGTTTATCACTTCACTGCAGTTGTGTGAAGTGAATTTGTTTGTGATATCTTATTTCTTAAAGACCACACTTAAGCACAATGCAGTTCTGGGGCTGGATCTCTTTTTTGGGATGGTGCCCTGCCCTTGTAAAGAGCAGCATCCACCAAGCAAGGTGGGTTTCTGGAGGACAACAAATTGGTTTAACAGGTGGTCACTCTGTAGATGTTTAGTTGACTTCGATTCAACTTCATCCTTCAGCGGGGACCCTACATTGGATCATGCTTCGTTCACTGCGAAGGCGGCCCAAGCTGCTTGTTTTGTCCCACTCATCGAATGCACAATTGTGCAAAGGAACCGAATGCACAATTGCGCTCGTTGACCAGCGAACCTGCGGGTTGACATGCTGAGGATGCCCATGGGAAGAACTGGCAGCAGCCCGTGCCTCTGGGTCCACCCAAGTGCCCCGACGTGAGCGAGTGACGCCCGGGTTGCGCGGCGCATTTGCGGCGGGTTCCTGCAGCGTCCGGTCGGTGCCAAACCGGGTCATTACGGGGGAGGATGGCTGGAAAACTGCCTGCGGGGTGGCGGTCTGTGGCTGAAACATGTGGGGTGGACAGATGAAAGTGTTGGAGCAGAGGCGAAGGTGTTGCCTGCTGGTTTTTTTGATCGTTCGTTGACCATCCGGCATTGCTCATCTCACATAGCCCCCCATTCATTGACACCTTTAGAATCGCCAAATCCTTTTGATCCAATGGACATCGTGAAAAGCAAAAAAGCACTTGGTGCATCTTGGTGCATCAACTCTTTCTTCACACCCCTCCCTCCCCTCCCCACATCTGTTCCATTCTTTTTTTTCACACACCCCCAAGTCCTGGTGCCAGTCTTTCTTCATTCTTTTCATGCTTCAACACACCTCTCTCATGCTTCTTTTCATGCTTCAACACACTTCAACATATACACTCCCTGAAACAATCATGGAAGTGGAACATAGGCCCCTGGAAGACCAATTGTCCTCTACAAGGGGGGTTTGCTCAGTTTCCATGAGTGTATATATTTTCTCTCTCCCTCTCTCGCTCTCGGCGCGAGGAAGTTGCACGTGACCTGGGATCCGACCAACGGAGGCCGCGGCTGCGGGACGCGGAAAGATGGACGTCGCCCGAAGGAGAAATGGGGACGATCAGTTCATAGGGGGGATCGGAATTTCCTCTATCAACCATGGACCCCTTGAGGGGGATATAGGGAATACCTACCCCTATACTAAGATGGAGCTTGAAACACCCATGTCACTCTGCCTCAGGCCGCCTGGAGCATTGCTTGGAAGAGCCCTCTAGTGTTGCCCTGGCGCGGCGCTACGCGCTGGCTGGAAGTTGGGATGGGTGCCTTCGAACAATGGGGAGAGGTGGAGAGGAGAGAGGCATGCTGTTGGATGGACGTCGCTAGCATGGGTGCTTTTCTGGAGGAGAGGAACTTGGTTTGGGAGTTTCTTTTGAAGAGTTTGGATGATTTCCTGCCGGGTTCTTCCAAGTGACCTTTTCATTCAGGGACTCCAAAAAGGTTCACTTTGAAGAAGATAGTGGAGCTCTTCGGGCTTAGGCTGGAGTGAAACTTCCTAAGTCTCAGCTTGTACTTCAATGGCTTTGTCAGCTCATGGAAGCAAGACATTGATATCGGCACCATTCAGCATCAGAAACATGATAACTTTTCTGATTTTTCTTCCATCAACAGCCTCAAGTTGCTGGCACCACCTCTTGGAATGGCCTTCTTATAATGGCGAACGTTTCCCTTTTCCTTGATTTTTCTTCCAACTAGCAGTAATTAGGAGCAGTAGGGGGTCAAATGTGAGTATATAATGCACGAAAAGACCATCCAATCATTCCAATCATTCCAATCATCACCCCCCCCAAAAAGGAACCAACAGTTTGGACCTAAGAATCAGAGACTGACCGGCCCCAAGACTGTCTGACCCCCTTGTTTGTTTCTCCATCATTTCCATGTGAATGCCACCGTTCCGTGCGCTCACCGTTCCAACCCAGTCGGACGAAGGAACGACGTGTTCCCCGCCTCAGGTGGACGACGGAGACCGTTTTCGTCCATTCGGCGGAGCAGTTGGGCTGCTCGGCCGGCAGGGACAACGGTGGACGGGGGGTGCTGGAGTCCCAAGAGAGGGGGGGTCCAGATGAAGCCGAAAGACCCACCGGGGGGTAGGCCGCTTGGGATGTTTTCTTTTTTACGACGACCGTCAAAGCAACCACGTTCCTAGTTTTTGGTGCTGCCGTTTTTTTTGTGGCAACTTGCCAGGTTGTACACAAATAGGCTTAGCCAACTGTTTGGAGGTTCACGGCTGCCCTGTGGAGCGTGCGAGTGAGTGAGTGTCCCATTACCAACAGGTCTTTACCAACCATCATCCACAGTTTTTTGGTATATACCCAAGTGGAATTTGATTTGAAGGTGCGTCGCAAGACTCTAGCCCGCCCCTATGCAGAAAAACACATACCCAATGTGAGTGTTCTTTCCTCTGCCGGACCGTGTTGTCCCATGACGATGCGCATCTCCCTGCGGACGCTTCGTCCAGCGTCGGTGCGGACGCTAAACCCTGTCGTGAAGGATCCAACGGCTGAATCCGAGAGAGGCTAGAACGAGCTGAGGCACGTATGTGGCGGCAGTGGAAGTGCCAAAAGGCATAGACATTGAGTTGCTTGGATTTGATTTTGGGAACCGGAAACAGAAGGCCTTTGTCTTGCTTTAGGTTTTTTGACGATCTTTTTCTTGCTGATGAAAGTCATTTGTTTTCATTTCGAGTCATGCACCTTGGTTTTTGGATGTTTTTGGTATGTTTTGGTGGGATGGATGGTTGCCGGGCCAGCTGTTAGTGAAGTTCTTGCTTACTCAAGCTTTGAAGTAAGTTCTTGTTCTTGACCCCAAACGAAAGCCCGTGCAATACCTTAGCACTACGTCTGAAGCTGAGTTGGGCTTGCCAAAATGAATGGCAGCAATTCTTCTAATTGAAGGGTTCGATTGAACAGTAGAGGGGAGAGCTGAGCTCGGTGGAGCAGTTTTTGGTTGCCGCACAGGTGCATCACCAGGTATCATTGATCATGCACATACAAGGAAGTACCTTCCATACAAGCCCAGCCTGGACGTCACTCTCCCGCCCAGATGGTGGTTCAAAGCTTTTGAACCTCAAAATGTTCACCCTAAAGATCCATCATGCAACATGTTGCGTGGTCTAAATGCCCTCAACCAGCACCCCCCACACCAGGGGTTTCTACTGATAGTTCCCGGGGTGTCCAGAAAAACCATCAAACCACCCCGACGGTGGGTCCTGGAACAAAGCCGTGCCATGATGTGTCCCTTCACCTTGGTTCGATCGGGTTCCGACCCTCGGGGGACGACGTCTCCAGATCCACCAGCGGCTCCAGAGCCGGACGCCCGGAGGTTCCAAGTCGTGTGCCCGGGCGGCGAGTTCGACGAGCGCATCTTCCCCGCGGAGGACGGCGAGATCCTGGGGCCCAGCGGTGACTCCTTCGGCGCTTCGGACCGAACAGTGGCGCCCCGGGACGGCGGGGGCGACGTGAAGTGCCGAGGGCGCGTGTGGCGACGTTGCCACGAGGCCGCTCGCGGAGTCGGCAGTGGTTTTGACTCCAAGCTGGGAAACCACTGGGGCTGAGATGATGACATGCGACCCACCAAAAGAAGGGCCTCCCAAAAAAGTGGTTCTTCCAAGAAAACAGACGTCAACCTATATGGTGTATAACCGTCTGGGGTAACACAACTGTCACGGCCGATAAAGGAAGTGACCGAGCCAACCACCCAGCTGGGAGATCAAGTGACTGGAAGAACCAAGGAATTTGTGAGACGTTCGTAAGGAGTTGAATGAAGGTTTTGTGACAGCTTTGTAAGGGGTAGGAACATGTAGGAACCATTGCTCTTCGACTCGAACTGGGGAAGACATATTTGGGACTCGAACGAATTGCGGCAAGACCTGTGAGCAATTTTCTTCATCGACCTCGCGGGCTCCTGAGGTCGAAATTGGCGCTTGCCTGCCGTGGCACAACCACAGACGCTCTGGGCTTCTTGGCACCGAATCACCTGGGACGTTAAGGAGCGGAAAGGCCATACGTTTTGCGCTGAGTTTGGGTGAGAGGATCTTATTGGAAGCACCAGCCCGTCCTGACGAACTTGGGTCATCCTCAGGTCACGTTCAGCACCTGAATTTCTGACCTACGTGGCCTTTCAAGTCGGGCACCTGAATGTATTCCGGGCACCGTGATGGGTCAGCTTCACCGCGCCTTTCGTTTCGACGTCCGATGTCCGGACGGACGGACCTCCGAGTTCGGACGGACCTCCGAGTTCGGAGGAGTCCTCGCGGTGTGCCCGAGGTGTACTGGAGCCCTGTGGGCAAGCGACGCTTGTCCGTCTTCTTGGACCACATTGGCGTGGCTTGGCTCGGGAGGAGGGGGGAGAGGGTCGGACTGGTCGAAACTCGGTCGAGGTGTTTGGTCGGACGGGCGCCAGGGAACAGGGGAACAGGTGCCAGGTGTGAGTTTCTGCTGGAGCAGAGCTCTAAGAGTGAGATGGGTTCCTGGCTGGCTGATGTATGACATACTTGAGACTTTTTTCACTTTGGCTTTTATAGGGAGGTATGTCGATTCTCCTAGGAGGCAAGCTAACACAGAAAAGGATGACCACGTGTTGCAGATCAACAGCCAAAGAACGTACAGCAATATCGACCGCGATGACAACAGAAACTTGCTTCTTCATCACCTGCCCAGGCTGAGCCACACTTGCCTGGCCGCTCTGCGCCCTCGCCCCCGGCCGCGCCCGGCCGCCCCCGGCCGCGCCCGGCCCGACGGACCATGCCCGGGCGGAAGAAAAGAGGGCCGGAGCGAGCATGATTTGGCCGTGGGTCGGTGACCAATCAACCTGGAGTCCTGGTCCAGTCTAGTCTAGTCACCCCCAGTCTGGAGCCACCAGTCTAGACCCGGTCCACTAGGTAGGTCATGGTAGGTCCAACGGGTCGGTGGGACACCGCTTTTGATCCGTTGATTTCATGGGACCCACCGCAGCTGCTGTAGACCACTGGGGGGTTGTGCCCCTGCCACACTTTGGAGTTACCCGAGGCGCTGGCTACTACGATCCCGCGACGGAGCAGATCATGTCCTATGACGGGAAGGAGGTCCGGAGAAGTATCGCGGTGCTGTCGAAGCAGTGCTTTTTGGTTGGGCATTTTGGCTTGGATTGGAAGAGCACAGGTCCTCTCAAGGGGTGTTCTAGAACCGTAAGGTCGCGAGGTGTGTTTGATGGTCCTTCTCCCAGAAACCTTGGCTTTTGCCACACCCTGAAATGCTTGGATTACTGACCAGTTGGTGTGGCTAATCTGGGTTCAGATGTGGCTCGTAGGTGGGCTCGTGGTCGAAGCTGATTGCAAGAATCCCAAGAAAAATCGGGGGGGTGAAGATGCCATCTTCAAATCACGGGTTTTCAGCATGCAGGATACCCTCCCCAAACATGAAACTGGATGGCATGGAGCAGGACATGCCTCACAGATTCCTCTAGCCACTATAAGTGCGTTTGTTCCACTTCAGTTTCCTTGGGCAAGTGCTTTTTCAAGAACGCTCGCCAGGTCCTTGGCTACGTCAATGAGGTCTGGGCCTGCGGTGGCTGCTGGTTTCGGGGGGAGGGAATGGAGATCGATCTCCGGTTTTGTTTTGTTGGGTGCCATGGGGGCAATCCTCGAGGGAAAGTTTGTATGTAGTTCTACCTCTTCATCTGTGAAACCAGCCAGAAGACATTTTGCATCGCTGGAAGATTCCAGGTAGAGTGCAGTGGGGAGTGCTGTGGGGTATCCGCCATCGCAGGTGGAAGAGGCCTGGATCAAGGACAAGAATGGGCTGGGAGGAAGGCGGACCTTGCGAATGGTAGGAGTGTGGGAATACTATACCCAGGGATTCCAGTTCGCCCTATAGTTGGTGACCCAGTGGTTCCAGTTCGACTCAAACATGTAGACCGAACAGGCACCTGGTTTCTCACTACTAGCGTTTACCCGGGATCCGCTGGGCTAGGCTTCACCCGAATCAGGGCGACATCATGTCTCAGGTTCGATGACTCCAATCGACGATTAGATCCAGAGTCCTCGACGATGCTCCCTCACCATTCACCTACCATGAGCTGATAACGAGATCATCGGAATGGATTCCGTTTCACGGGTCTTGTCGAAAATGGTCGGGAAATTGCTTGCGCCTCAGGATTTGCGTTGAACTGAGGCTAGAAGTATCGGTGCAGATCGTCAAGATTTAAGTCATCCTGTTTTCAGGACGCTGGACACTGCGAGAATTCGTTCTCCTTGTCTTCGCAGTAAAGCTTGTTTTTAAGGCGCCACGTTTGGATCCCTTTTAGCTTCGCTCGCTCACCGAATTGCACTGGAATTTTTGCACTGGAATTGTTTGGGGTTCGGGGCGCCGGTCATCTGTCGTTTTCAGAGTTTTTCACATTGGGGTCACCGCAGAAGCGGATTCAGCGCAACTCTACATACCTACCTCCAAAGCACCCTTCAGCACAGCCATTGAGTCGAAAAACGGCCGCTGTACAGCGGTTCCATCGCCGTTCGTGGAAACAGCCCAAGTATATCACCGTGGATGTTGATGGGCCGTGTGGTAAGACTGCGCGATGAAGAGCATTGGTGATGACCGTGGTCTTTTTTCTTAAATTTGCGTATACTTAGTAGACTGTGCCTATGGAAACCCACTCAAAACCAGAAACACTGTGGTTGGAACCCGGCTTTCTTGAGATCCTTTACTTTTGGGAAGTGGCTGGGGAGTGGGCGTGGGGAGTTCCATCCAGACGACCTTTCCAGCCTGTCTCCGGTCCGAACTCTTGCTCCGCGCGCGTGTTCGGTCCGCGCTACAGGACCATTGCCGAAAAGGCTTCGAGGATTTGCCCAGCGAGACCCAAGGCGGGGGACCGGAAACTGCGAGGAACTGGGTTGGGGGAGGGGTATGAGATGAGGAATGGGGGGTTTCCAAAGTTGAATCTGGTGTGTTTTGAGGACTTTGAGGACCATTTTCAGGGTGAACAGAATCTTGACACTGGGTTTTGTGAGGAGCTTTGCAAGGATCAGATCGTCAAAAGGTCCTCATGTGTTTCGAGGTTTGGCTATGTAGCCATGCGTCTTGCTCACTCTGAATCTTCTGAATGATCTCTGTCTCTTTGCCCAGAGATGCAAACAAAACTCTCTCTCTATACCTAGATCTTCCAACTGTGCAAACAGAAACGTGCCATAACATGCCTAAACATGCAATTTTAATGCAACAAAGTCAAAACACACCAGCCAACTTCGGCAGACATGTTGCACAGTTGGAAGATTCAAGTAGATCATCGAGATCGGGACTCCAGCATTCACCTGCGACTCCGATCGGAGGTTCTATGAACGCTGTTGAGTAAGGCCAGCGAAGTCCCATTGGGGTTCTTAGGGGCTTCAACGAAAGATCTTTAAAACTACCGATTTTTTTTTATTACGCACACCCCACCTTTTTCATACTTTTTGATGGACACTTTATTTACAACCTATAGGAACCATGGGAACCCCATACGACCTCAAGCGGCATTCTACAGATTGTGCCTGAACTGTCGTATTTGGTCTGTCTTGACAGGCAGCAGCCCGGCACCCGAAGAGGTAGAGGTGCTCTCGAGTTCTGGGAGCGTGACCTGCGAGAGTTCGAGATCTAGATGACATGCATGACTTGAATGACTCTTGATGATATTGAACCGCTGACTCAACAGGTCAACAGGTAGCTGATGATTGCTGACTCTTGCCTCAACAGGTAATGACTGTTGCTGTCATTTGGATTATATTTCAACTCCCCAAGGCTCTTCAGAGCTTTTACAATCCCAAGGGGGGGTTTGAAATATTCACCATGCGTCTACAAGACGAAGACATCCGGACCCCAAGCGCTACTCAACCAGTCTCCTCCCCCTGCGAAGCTTCGTTTTTTTTTGGCTTTCCAAAGCGGTCCACCGATTTTTGGGAACCGGCTGGTCCACCTGAAGGTTCTGCAGGTGGGCACGAAAGAGATGGCACAGATAGCCTATTCGTCGTGAAGCGATTTTCTGGTGGCAGAACTCTGCGACATCAAGCGCATGAAACGCAGGGGTCTTAGTTTCGACCAACAACGAAGCTTTAATTGGTTCAGACACTTCCAAAAGACATGGTCTGGAGTCTAGACACAGACCCTCAGACCTTGCCCCCTTTGAATTGATGTTGAACTCAAGCACATGTCACATGGCATTTGGGGTTTATGATGTTGGTCTGGGAACTCCATCTATGGTCCCACCTGTTGGCCCATTCACAGCTGCAGGCTGTGCCTGAAGAACAGAAGGCTCAGTAGTGGCTGCAAGGATGACCAGAGAGATGAGCTGAGTTGTCAAATCTGCCGAGCTTGCTCCAAGGCCCCAGAGTAGGCGAGTGCGAATCGCACCAGCCAGCGACTCCAGCGAATCCTTTTGAGGTTGCTGAAATGGGACAATTCTAGTAGGGTACACGACTGGTTCACATAGATAGAATGGACTCTTTGGACTGCACCTTGCAGAGCCGTAGACGCAGGTCCATCTGAAGTTGATAACCAGCAGAACATGGGGTGTATTAAAGATAGGGAGAAACGGGAGAAACACACACCCGTTCGACCCTGTGGGAGAAGGGAAATCACCAGTACTGTACCCTTTTCATGTTTCTGTGACGCGCAAACGTGATTGAACGGAGAGGTTTTTTTGACCCCTCTCTTCTGCTGACGACCGCCCTAAGACAGATCCGGCGAGCAACTCGTGAACTTGGAGAACGGCTTCGCTTCCATTTTTCAAGATCAGCTTGTCCTTCTGGAAACGCTCCACGTAGCCTGAAAAACACCCGTGCATGTTGACATCTCCGCAATAAGGAGTTGCTGTATTAGCCCTAGGCTTCCAACCACCATTAGTCTGATAGCCTTCAGCAAACAGCCATTGTTTTACTAAAGGATTTGACACTACAACACCAGGTCAAAGCATTTTTAAGAGCCAAGACGTTGACCCTCCATGTCGGCCAAGTCCTCGTCGTTCGGAACTCATCCTAGCGAGGTTGTTCCATGTTTCCGGTCCTGGAAGGCTGAACTCTAATCCTTCCAGACTCCACAAACGTCTATCTCATGAGTTCTTCAGATCAGAGACACCAAGCGAAGCTGTATCATTGGGCTTTCGGCGAAGATGCAGTATCAACATAGAACATGAAATGTGAACAAAAGCGAACACCACATGCAAGAACATCTAGAATAAAGCAATTGCATGCAACTACATGTTCTAATTTGCAATGCCATGCAATTTGAAAGCGTGGAGTGGGTGAACATGTTTGAAACACTTGAAACTTGACTGTCCCTGAAGCACTTTTCTTTCCTCCTTGCAACGGTCTGACACTTTTTGGCACAACTAGGTTGGTCCGCAGGAACATCCCTGAGGAAATGAAGTTTTGTTTTGATTCCCAAGACACCAAACACTTGGACATTGCAAGGAGATGTCCATTGGAGAAAGACAACACCAAAACACCAAGTACTTGAAGCTGCTTCGTGAAATGTCCGCGGAGATGTCCAGATGCAGACGGAAGCCACGTCGCTCTCACCTTTTTTTTTTTTTTCCAGAATGCTCCGGCTCAAGGCCGCGAGCGTCGCCGGTCTGGAAAAAAGCACGGCTCGCGCGGAAGTTCCGCGCGGGACCGCGCCGCGGTTCGCCAGCTTCGAAGCTCGGAAGTGAGGGATTCGAGCAGCCCAGCGTGGCTGATGGGGGTCGGTCACCGTATTTTTTTTCCGAAAAGGAAGAGAATGGACCAGTCGGCATCTGCATGTTCGATTTGGGAAGATGTTGTGAGCCCAGGCCCTTCCTTAAAGCAGTTTGGGGTAACAGCCAGGATAGTTCTGTACCATAGGAGTTGTTGCTGTCTTTCTTTACGGCGTCGTCAGACGGGTGCTGTGTGGATTGAAGCACCAGAATCGGCGCGAAAAGCTGTCCTGTGGGGATGGCAAGAACGGTGCTTCCAAGCTCCAAACCTTTTTAGTGGTGGATGCCCTTGCAAGATGTTGGGGGTTCCTTGCTGGGATGGAGGGTTTCCCTTCATCCCCAGTGAACCAGAAATGTGGGTCATGAAAACTGAATACGCGTCCTCGGTTTTTCATGCCACGACTTCCGCCTCCACTCATGAACAGTGCTTCAAACTCCCGCATGTTTCTGCTCGCAGCTCGCTGCTGGGTGACCAGTTTTTGCGATCAGCTTCGACAGTCCCTGGTCTTTTGTTCTTCACACGGGCCATGTTTTTGGATGAAGCGATGATGCCTCTGGAGCCATTGGAGCTCAAGGACAGGGGATCTCTTCGAGAAAGAGCCCAGTCACTCTTCTGACTAGTGCGACTTACGGGGATGAATGGAATGACTCCCGGAAATGACCCAGTTCGACAGCTTCCGGATGCATCCAGATGGACCGTAGCCACCTGAATTTTCCATGCACGAAGCTCGCACCAGTCAGTCTTTGGATGTGGGATGAAGGAGTCGATTTGAGTATAAAAGAGTCGGTGAAGGGAAGAACATAGCCCTTTCTTCCAAAAGAAAATCGACCGGTTGATGGATCGCCTCGCCTTGGGAAAGGATGCTGCTTCGCTTGGGACAAGTGGCCAGGTGAAGCGATTCTCCAGTTTTTATTGGTTTCCGGATGAGACCTATTATTTGGCCTGTTTTTTGTCTATGACACTCTCAAAAGTCTGGAATCAATTGATTATTGATTCTCCTTTCAATGCATTCTTGGAGGGCGCGAGCCACCCAGCGCGATGCACTCCAGAAATTCCATGAACTAGTTCTTTCATAGGCTCAAGTGACTCAAGTGCTTGCTTGTGGAGAACTTACAAACGGGCCTTTCATGTAGAAGACAGCTGTCAAGACAGCTACATGAGTGTTTTGAACACAGCTTTCACCAGCTCACCAGCTTGGCGTCGCTCTTCAGGAGTCGAGGGAGGCGAGCGAGGCGCCAACGATGGTTGGCTAGAACGGGGAGAACGGGGTGGGGAGAACGGTGTCTTTGGAGAGCACCAACCAAAGAGGAGGGAGTGGATGGAAGTGGGGCACAAAACTGCAGGATTTTCAGGATTCCCACATGGCTCACAGTGGTAGATCCGGGCCGAAGAATTAGTTCGTGTGAGGTGAACAATTTTTGACAGAATGGGGGGTGTCGGTGAATTTCTGGGATGGTCTTGTGGAAGTCTGGCAAATGTGTTGGATTGGCTGAGAATTCAATGACCTGTTAGTTTTTGGCCTTTGCTCAGTGAATCCTGCTCATGGGAACATACCAGAACCATGTATATGCTTTCTAAGCGTACCGTTTGCATCCCCCACAACCAGACACTCCAGCTGCATATCAAACCCACGCTTAAGTGGCTTAGAACTCGTGCACCTCCGGTTCCCTAGGCTTCCAGTCGTAGCTCCAGTCGAAGGTGTTTGGGGTGGGTGCCCTGGTCGGGTCCAGCCATACCGAACCTGAGGAGGTACGGCGAAGTCGGTGTATTAGAATATAGGGATGTCCGAAACAGACACCCTGGAAGAAGAATATAGACCACCACCCATTGGTGGGGGGGGTTCTTAACCATTTCCTTCTCTCTCCTCTAACGGTCCCATCCATGGACCACCCACCTCCTAGAGCTAGAGGACGAAAGAGATAGAGATCACCACATCTATAGCAGATCTATGGGCGCCCTCCGTTTTTTTGGGTGCAAAGCAAACAGATCCCAAATGTGCTGGAACCAACGACTGGAACCTGACTTCATCTCCGTGAATGACGCCTTCGCCGCCGCAACCGCCGCCTTCGCCGCCGAAACGACGCCTGAAGCCGCCTGCAGCGTTTGAGTCGCGCTGTTGAACAGATGGGATGGCATGGGTTCCCGACTTGTCGGAGGACAAACACACAGAATTCTCCCGAAGTACCAAAGAGGGAATGTTCACTCAAGTCACACTAAACCAAGATGAATTTCAGGCGAGTGAACTGGGAGTGACCTGGGAGGTGTCACCAACCTCTCCAGCTCCGGCTGCACCAACCTCTCCAGGCACAGCCTTCCCCCACGCGCAGATGGCGGGTGAAGGCGAGCAACCCGAGCAGTGTTCCGAGGGTGGATGGATTAACAGCCGAGCCACCCGATTTCATAACCCCCCCAAACTTGGATTGGAATACCTTTGAAAGGCTTGGGGGGGTGGAAGCATCATCATCAGTCTTGCATTAAGTTCGGGTGGAAGAGAAGGGACACCTTTGACTGCGAAACCTCCGACCTTAATACCGACCTGACCCCCCTTTGTGGCCTAGTGGCTAACGTGCGCGGGTGGAAGGCGCCCCTTTGGGTGCCCGGGGGGACCTCTTCCGCTGGGGAGTTCCGCCACACGAGCGGTGCGGATCGTTTCAACACCCCGAGCCACCTCCGTGAAAACGTTCCGAGCCGCCAACCGGTTCGGTGGGACGACCGGTGCCACGGTGCCAGGGTTCGGGTCCCATACCGAAGCGTTTCGGAGGTAGGACTGGAGGCGTTGATGATCCAACTAAGGGGGTCCAACCTCGGGCGGTTCAGCTGCACTGCAGGAGGAGCATGGGTCACATTCACCAGGTTTAAGGATCCTTTCACTTCCAATGTAGACGGTTGGTTCATATTTCCACCATCCTAGCCCAAAGAGGTTTACAATCCAATTGTTTTTTGGTCATCAGCTTCCTGTTGGCCGCTTGGTGGCGCTGTGGCGACCCTTCGACCACGGTCGCGTCGTGGAGGTCGCCACCGCTCTGGCCTTGACCGCTGTGGTCGGACTGGTCGTCCTGGTCGTGGGAGAGGCCGGAGGGGCCTGGTGGACCGGGCGGAGCGGGGAGAGGAAGCTGCTGAGGAAGCTGCTTGATTCGTGGCGCGAGACAGCCACGGAATGTACTGTAGACGGTTGATGAAGAGCATTTTTTTTTTTTTTTAAGCCCCCTAAGAAGTTGTACAATCCAAGTTTTTGGGGTGTTGTACTAATCAACAATTTAGAAGCTAGATGAAACTGGATGAAACTAGTAGCTAGTAGAACAGACCAGACTGGTAGAGGTATGTCTTGTTCACACCCAGTCCTTTTCTGGCAGTTAAGGTGTCATGTTCCAGCTTAACGAAGGGTAGGCTGCAACAACTCGGCAACATCCCAAGCGAGTGGAGCTACATAGCTACATCATTGCCTACTCAGCCTGGGCTTGACTTGAGTGATCTTCGAACACTCAAAGAATCGTGCCAAAATCTTTGTGATTTACTCAACCTGCAGGGGTGTATCACTTAAAATCATAGGTCATTCGATTGATTTTGATGAGTCCTCAGTCCTTAGTC